GGTAGTAAATTTATCAGGTTGAAGAACAACATGTACGTCAAAATATTAGCAATAAATAATAATTATACTGTAACATGCCGAATTGTTGAAATACGGGTTGGTTAAAAGCGAAAACAAAAGTCGACTAGACGTATTGCTGAAGCATAAGTTAGCAATCTGAATATATGATAACTTTGAATTACTGGATAGAATTTACTTGCACGAAATTACAAAATCAGTGAAATGTAAGTTAATACAGGCTATTACATATGCTATGATGTCATCACTGAAAGAAACAACGTTGCTCAAGGTAAAAATATCTGTATGCCGCAGAATATGGCCGCAGTAAAGTCGCAAATTAATTCCTGGCAAAGCAAAACTCTTTCGCACAAAGGACGACTTAGTAAAAGGACAGTCTTGTAATAAACGCTGAATAAAAGCAAAAAATACCTTCACACACTCGCCTTGCCAAACGTTGGTGACCTTCTATACTTCAGTACACTGAGAGAACCTGCCTAATCTGCCACAAAACCTGCCGTGTAGTGAGGTGGACGAAATAGATGGCTGAATTAGCCGGTTACGGTCGAAAGAGGTTGCTGTTCGAATGATTATTATCACAAAGAATCGACGAGAATCAAAATGCTCAATTCACTCCCGGAGGTCAATTTGCAGCAATGCCGGGGCACATATGGGCGAACAATTCAGGACATACAGACAGTGAACGGAAATGGTTGAAGTTCTTATTGAAAACATCACCCCATTTATGGAAATTTATAATTGACAGTTCGAAGTGACGACACTGTGTCTGTTGAATGAAATTCCAAGATATAATTAGTTGTTTGATGACCCAATCAATATGAATGAAAGTGAAAAAACTGTAGCATCAGGTCAGAGGAACTAGACTGAAACAAAACATGTTGTTGTTTCGATGACGTAACATAACTATACCAACCACAAGTGGATCAACACGGGTCAGTGTGAAATATCACATCCGATGACGTAATCGGCAAAGGTTGTTAAGCCTGCCACAACAATAATGGTAGTACTACTGTAACAAAGAATCAAAAAAAGTGTTATGATTGCAGTCAACTCCATAACATGCACAGGCTCTATGTATACATCAGAGAAACACAAAATATTGTTCACAATCAAATGCAATCAAACGGAGGATAAATAAACCGATTAGGAAACTCATGCCTTTCAATAACGTCAAAGAAGGTAGCAAGGAGGAGAGGTGGGGGGTGTGATCCCGTTCCACGTAAAAATTTTAGCAAAATTCATGCAACACTTATACTATTATCTACTGTTAACAATGTTTTTTTTTTCAGAAATTCTCAAATTACATTTGTCTTTTAGTTGCTTTTCACGCGTTGCTGACAAATTTTTGCGCTCATCACGTGTTACGCATAAATCTTCTGCCAAGCTTGACAAAAAAAAGTATTAAAATAGCGTAACAAGTGGATGCTCCTCAGTTCCGTGTAGACATAATACTCTTCAAAGAGTTAGAATTCAAAAAAATTGGTGTAGCCGTCGCAAAGAAGCCACAAACATGAACTATTAAATTATATAAAGCGGTGAAACAAACGCGGCAATCGATACACGATGACTACCTCACCCCACCCCTCTTAAGTCTTAACCCATGTCGGTCCCACCCCACCCCCACCCACTTCGACTTCGCCAGGAGCTCCTACCTTCGCACAGCAGAGGTGAAGGTGAACACGATTTATCAAAGGGAAGTTCCAAACCATCCCTAACCCTAATCTAACCTACCCGAGAAAATAACTCTGTACATGATAAAAACAGCCAGGAGCCCATGGGCTCCTGAAACAGCAGAATGTCCGAAATCCCCAGGTTGGAGAAGAAATCAGCGCGGAGACTTGGAACGAGGTTGGCTAGTTCCCAGATTCCCTTCAGCACAACCTCGTCCCCAGGGTCCCATAATAATATAAACCAAGATGGCGGATGTTCGTTCCTCGTTTTCCCGATCGAATTTGGCGAATTTCTCTCGTCTACCTTGGGAAGATGTGGTGTTTCTTCATATATTTCCACATTTTACCATACCACAACTCTTTAAGTTTAGAAACGTGTGTAAATTTTGCCGGGATGCCTGTGATTCGTATTTTGCTTGGCAAAGAGTCCTCGACTGCAGTCAAGTTTCATCTCGCCTCACGTCTAGTGCTCTGATGTTGATAACCAAATCAAATTTCTCATTGCGGCTGCTGAGTTTGAAGAACTGCAAAAGCTGGCTTTGTGACACCGTCTTGGTAGAAATCTTAAAGCGAAATACACGACTCTGCGAGCTAGATCTCACTGCTTGTTCAGGTTTAACAAACTTAGCGCTGTTCACCTTGGCGGAATGTAACCGGGGTTTGAAAGTGTTAAGGTTACGAGAATGTCGCTGGGTTTCTTCCGATGCAGTTACTCAGGTATCCCTGTGCTGCATCAGCCTTGAGCACGTCGATCTCGCTGGCTGTTGGGAGGTTACGGACTTGTGTGTTTCGTCGCTAGCTTCCTGTTGCAATGGCTTGAAGACGCTTGTTCTTAACGACTGCTACGGTGTTAGCGATAACTGTATTCGAATCGTCGCTAAATCGTGTCCTAAACTGTCACATCTTGGAATAAGAGGTTGCTGGCGGGTTTCCAATTCTGCCGTGAAAATGGTCGGGGAATACTGCCCTTTGTTAACGATTCTGGAAGTTAGGGATTGCAGAGATATTTCCGAGGCGAGTTTAGCCAGATTGAGGATCAGAGGGGTGAAGATCGATGTGGAACAGGCCAAGTGGACAAATATGCCAGTTGGCCCAAATGAATACCCGGAACAGCGGGATTGGCGCATCCCCATGGTAAACTTAAACATCTGAGTTCTTCAGGAGCTGGAAGTCTGTGGTAATCACTCTTGTTAAGAGTGGTTAGTGATAATCTTGTCTTAATGGTTGCCAGCATTACCTGCGTTACCTGAAAGCTGTAGAAGCAAGTTACTTACTGGGCAAAGTTTTCCATTTATTTCTCACTCTTCAAATTGTGAACCCCACATCTTTTAAAGGAGCTACTTCATGGTTTGCACATTTTGAAAAGTTTAGGCTAAATTTTTCAAGTTCGTCATTCTGTGCACCCCCAAAATAACTCAAAATACCGTCATACTCATTGAGCTCCTTTTAACTCAATTTGAAACTGGATTTGCTACCCTCCTTAGCAATACACATTGTATTTAGTAAGGGTTGCAACAGGCCCTATGCGCCAACTTGGCGCCAGGGGACAGGTGAAGATGAAGGGTTGCAACACAAATACACTCACCTTATTTTAATATGTTGATATTTACAGTGTATATATAGTTTTAAGAGTTGTACATATCAATTTTTTTTTAATTCTTTAATACATAGCTAGTAAATAATTTGTAAAAATAGAGTTATTAGTTAGGTGAACACCACTAGTTGGGAGACATTTTCCTCTCTACAAAATTTGACATGTAATTAAGTTATATACATGTATGTATGATTCATTATTTCTGAAAACTTTCCGACTGTTTTCGGTTGGTTTAAATCATAAATATATTGAGGCAATGACTTTAGCAGTGCCCGGTAGAGTTGATGAGTAATCTAGTCAATTCAAATTTCCTAGGTTTTAATTAATTTTTGTCAGGTTTGCAGGCCTGTGGCACCTGTTTAACTGCCAGGTTTCTCCAAGTCAAAGGCAGGCGATTATTGATCCCTGCCATATTCAAGAAAGATTTCCAAAGATGTTCCAAAGAACAGTTTCACAGTCTCATTCTTAGGATGTGGTAAGCTAACATAATGTTGTCACAAGTAATTTTTCCTTCTCAATTTATAATATGAGAGTCGAAGGGAAAATAAAAGAATTTAGATTTGTGAGAACTAAGTTTTTTCATGTGAGCATGAGATTGAATTCATTCACGAGTTTTCTGCCCAATGCAAAAAAAAATCTAGTGCTCTGCAAACAGCTGGTTCATAAATGAGGCTAAATACAGTGGAACCTCAACTTAACGAACCTCTATTTAACAAAGTCCTTGGTATAACAAGCAATATTCTTCACCCCAGTAATAGTGAAATATATGGAAAAGAACCTCGATACAACAAAACCGCATTATAATGAACATTATTTGCCAGTCCCTTGGCCCTTC